AGCAAATCAAGCAAAGAATGGCAACAGCTCTTTCTACCCCTTATATCTTATTCAGGCTATGTGGGGTGGATACCACCCATACCCTTAATCCTAGTGCTGTTGATCCTAGAACTGAAACATGAATCAGTCTCAGAGTCACACACTCTACATTCAGCCACCTCTGAAAAAGCCCCACTTATGACTGAATGATGCTTTAGGAGAACATCGAGACACATGCCATAACATTCTGCCCCTCCAAAGACTTATGCACATCCCTTTACTCAAAAGATATGCAGTCCACCTCCAAGGGTTGCCAAAGACCTAGAAGTGTCAATATTGCTGAAAAGTCCAAGTCCAAAGTCTCCTGTGATAGTTAAGGCAAATTCTTAGCTGCAAGCTTCTGTATAAACAAAAAGAAATTTAAACACTTTCAACATTCGATGGTACAAAGTAGATATTTCTATTTCAAAAGTTACAACCAAGGTGATAGCAAGAAATAGGAATAAAGCAAGACCAAACTCCAGTAGTAGGACAAACATCAAATCCCACAGTTCAACTTCCAGCATCCCTAGAAATCTGGGGCAAGTTGTGAACTTCAAAGGGCTTGGGAGGATTTGCACTTTTGGCACTGCCGGTGGTTGTTCCTCCCATGGCTTCTCTCTGGATTTGGCTTTTCTCCCTCCTTGTACTTTTCCTGAGATGATCCACATTCTTGGATTCTTCAAAATTCTTGTCTCCACGGCACCTTCAGCTTCGCACAAACAGACCTCTCAGGGGCACACTGCCTGGTTTCCCAGGCCTTCTTCCTAAGTCTAGATGGAAGCCTTCCTGACCCCACAATGTTTGCATCCTCTATGCACCTAAAACCAACATGACATGGATGAGGCCAAGATCTTCCACCAGCTGGAGTAGTAGCCAGGCTTCCTTCTCTCTTGGCTGTAGGGGTAAAGTGCCTATGAACCAAATGCCTAGGAACAACTTCCCTAGGTCACAACCATTCTGGAACACAGTTCTCTGGGGCTTTCTCCTTAAAGCAAAGTCTTAAAGCAATTCTGTTTGTGAGGGTGGGCTGCCTACTGGATGGATAACAGTGGTGATAAGGTCTGTGTTTCATACCATCTAGAAGGACAGCCCAGGCTTGTTCAGGTCATGGATCAGTGCATTTCCCACTTACAAGTCCCTTAGAAGCTGCTATGGTCTCACTGTTTGTCCCCTCCAGGGGACATTGTAACAGTATTAAGAGGTGTGGCCTAGTGGGCACTGATTTGGTCATTAAGGCCAGCTTCATGCATGGATTAATATTATCATAGGCATGAGTGAGTTATGGTAGATCTGGGTTTGTTGTAACCATATCCTCTTACCATGTGATGCCCTTTCTCTTAAGATGCAGCATGAGCCACATCTGATACCAATGCCATGTTCGTGGACTTCTCAGTCTCCAGAAATTGTAAGGTATGAAATATTCTATTATAGGAGCAGAAAATGGGCTGAGATAAAGCCCCAGGCTAGGAATTTGAAAAAAACCCAACATTTCCAGTGCATCCTACTGACCAAAGCCAGTGTAAGATCAGCCCTAGGGAGACGTGAGCTCATAGTCATAGATCCAGAATCACATTACAAGGAAGGTAGAAAAGCAGAGAGGTATAATTATTGTCATTTTTACAAGCAATTTGCCACAGCAGTGTATTAATCTTTTAAATATTTTTTCTATATTCTGTGATGTTTTGACATCATAAAAGCTTGCTGGTTGAGGGAAATTATTCCTTTCATGGCTAGCCAATTCTTACACATAGCAGGGGCTGTGGCCATGAGCACATCCTTTATAGATAAACAAATTCATCCTGAGGCTACAGTCCTAGGTGTTTCATTATCTAACTCTTGCACAGAGAGTTAATATTTCTCCTGTCCTAAGTCAACCTAGGGCCAGCCACCAGGCAACTAGAGACCACCTATGTCTGGAAGCCCACTGGCATCATGCTGGCTGTGGCTACCTTTCCTCCCTTGTGGAAATCTTCAGCAAGGCTCTGGCCTTGACTTCCCCTGGTCCCTGTCTTCTACCTCCTGACCACACTGTGCATGGCACACTGAGATCCTTTCTGGGTCTGTGAGCATAATAAGTTTATTCTTTCCCAGCCATTCTCATTTCTCCCATTAGTCACATTGATTTTATAATACCATATCTAACATTCACATTCTAAAAAGAATTTACATCGTATGTCTAAGTGGGAGGAAAAGTAAAGAAAAACTGAAAAGGAAAAAAGTTCCTTACATTTTTCTGTATCTTTTGCATTGAAGGATAACCAGACAGCACAATTCTGGGAGAGAGAGAATAAAATGAAAGTCACACATTGAAGATTTGGAGAAAGCTATTGAAAAGTGGTAAGGTTTGGATGGTTTACCTGTTTTGCCTGTCTCTTATACTTCTTCTGACAGGAATATGGAAGCAACACCAGAGTTCTGGCAGCCATCTTAAAACCATGAAGCAATAAGCATTAACAAGAAAGCCACATCCTAAAATGGCTGAATGGAAAGAAAAATAGACACAGGGATATCCTATTTCCACAATATCTCACAAGAAAAAAGGAAAACTCTTTACTCATTTATTCATTTTAGGTTATTTATATTAGTCAATCAACTCAAATGTACCTTCCTTACCTACACAAACACCTTGGCACATAGTGGTATGGGAAAATTTTATATATTCACACTGGTGCAGCCATACAAGAGAGAAAGATAAGAAAACATGTTTCTGTGCTGGCTGCCAGTAGAACACAGAATAAAACAAAGACACAAGGAGCAAACAGGTAATCCCATTAAGCCCTATCCTAAAAACCCATTTCCTGCTGTAGAGCACAGCCTAGGACTGGACACATGGCATTTCAAAAGTGCAATTTCTAAAGCATTATTTGATGCCATGGAAACAAAAGATGAAAATGTATCCAAAATGGAAATCAAAATGAGAAGGCATATGTATAATATTTTCCCACAGAAATATAGGAATTTTTTTAACTGCTCTTCTCAGGGAAATCAATAATGTTGGAGAATTGACAGCATTTATGGCTTCAGGTCTTTGTAAATTCTTTAATTTATTAAACAAATACTAATCAAACACTTGAATGACCAGTGTATACAGAAAAATCCTTTTAAAATTTAGTGCTTCCAGAGTTCAAAAGATAATTAGAAAGCAAATACCCACCTTGTATCAGTCAGGGTTAACTAGAGGAACAGATATAATATAAGATTAACAAATGTATAAGAAATTACAAGTTTGGCTTACAATGATCAGCTACAGAGTTGGATGAGGAAGCGTGCAGAGGGTGTCTGCATGCTGGAGATTGAAGAGCCCAGCCCCGGGCCTGGAGCTCACTGAAATGTCCGTGCAAGTCTGTATCAAAAGGCTGATGGGTCTGGGACGGAATACTGAAGAATCTACAATGAAGGCCAGAGAGCCAACACCAGAAGGCTGAAGAGTCCAGACGGAAGCCCAACAGTCTGCATCAGAAGCCCGGAGATGACCAAGCTGAAGGGGAAGACCGGAGCTCCTCCGAAGAACCAGCAGCAGCCAGTCCTTCCTCAGTTCCTTTTATTATGCAGTCTACCCACTCTGGGGAGGTATGGGTTGTCTTCCACACCCACACCCTCTGCATGCCTGCCTCTTGCACAGGCTCAGGATGAATACAAAGTAAGCACCCTGGACCCCTTCTGAGTTATATAGTTAACCTTTTAAACTTTTCAAATTAACACAATAAACAACATCCCAGAAGGGTAAATGCAGGTCCTTTTCACACCAAGATGTAGAACTGCTGAGTCACTTGGCCAAACCTTTAGACTCCCTAAATTGACACAGTGTATCAACCATAATACACCTCCTTCTTCGTCCTTGACTTCCCTGTTTTCTTCTTTCCTCTATTCCCTTTTCTTCTTTTATTTTTCATATATTTTCATTCCCTTCCCATCCCTTCCTTTCAGAAAAGTGGGGAGAAGAATTGATTAACCTTTTATTTTCTTTCCTTAGTTCTGTGATTCTCAAAACACAGAACAAGTGATAACAGTGGGACACAAGTAAATTTTAGATGAGATTAAGTAATATCAAGCATGTGGTGAGAAGGATTTTCTATTTTCCATCTTCTATCTTTGATGTTAATTTCTTTTTGCTACCATAAATCTTTTTGCTATCATATGTATTGTGAAAATCAAATAGTAGAAATATAAAATATCATGTTGATATACAGAAGAGTTGTTTTTACTATTAACTGTTTTTCTTGCACACTCTTACTTAAGAAAGTTCAGAACTACCATGTCTAGTTCTGTTATTCTGTGGGCCAATTTATATCCCCTTAAAACTCATATCTTACAGCTTTAGCCACCCATGTAGCTGTAATGGAGATAGAATCTTCAAAGTTGACTGAAGTTAAATAAGATCAGAAGAGTGGGGCACTGATCTGTCTAATGGAACTGGTGCTCTTATGAAGTGGAAGAGATGCCAGGGCCCTCTTCCTCCCTCCCTCTCCCCCTTCACCCCAACTTGAGGACACAGCAGGAAAGCAATTGGCCATAGGCAAGCAAGAAGAACCCTCCCTAGGAATTCAACTGTGCAGGAACTTTGACTTTTCCAGATTCCAGAAAAATGAGAAACAAATTCATACTTATACGCAGAATACAATAATTTGTTATAGCAAACAGAGCATAGTAAAACAGATGTCTTTTTAAAAACTTGAATTTTTTTCACAGTTGTAATTTTCTGTACTTTTTGCAACTGGACATGCCCTATGAATTTCCCTTCTTTCACACACTGTCATACCTTAATCCCACCATTCTCTTGCCTGTGTGTAACATATAACCCTTGAATTGCATATCACCACATTCTTATTATGTGAGTATTGGATTGTCTTGTTTTAGTCCTTTAGATAAGATTGCAAGCATCGTAGACAGCTGAGTTAAATATTTCTGAGCTTCATAGTAGCTACTATGTTGGGTTTTGCCATGATAATGCTGTATGGGAAGCCACCCAAAACGCAGAATTTTAAAACAGGATTCATTTATTACATCAGATATTCCCGAAGAATTTTCAGCAAGTGAGCAGCTCTGCACTAGCCCATGGGACGAGGTTGCTGCACCCCTCATAGCAGGTCTGTGGAAAGGTTGACACAGCTGTCTTCTCCAGGCAATAACAAAGCTCAAGAGTGTCAGAAACAGAGAAGGGTTTGTGTGACGTGTACTTGACACACTTTCCCTTCATCCTCATTGGCTAAAGCAAGCCAGGTGATGCAGCTTAAGGTCAAGAGGCAGGAAATATGCAGTCCTCATACAGCCACAGCAAGGGCGTGGTCCCAGGAAAGGGTGAGAATTGAAGACAACTATGACATCTGTCTCAGAAGCAGGAGAGGTTACCACAGGGAATTGTTTGCATGTTTCTGTTTTCTATTTCTCATTTGTGTATCCTCTTCCTTCTAAGACTTTCTGGTGTTTTTTTGTGGGCCTTCTGACCATTTTCTGGGCTTTCTTTCCATTGTTCCTGTACTAACTTTTGGAGCTGTGAGATCCTGCATATTAGAGTCAAAGTGAGAAGTTCCTTGCCTAAATTCCAGATACCCCCAGTTGATGCCAGTTCCTTGGACAGTGAAATCATCACACGCAGTCTTCTAGCTGAGGCCGCAGGAGTGGCACAGCAGACAATCCTTCTTGTGTATTCGGTCTGAATTCCTAGATCAGGAAACCCATGCATATTGTATTTAGTGACTGTTTAAGGTTCCCTCTTTTAGGGTGCTTTACACTAATATTTTCTAAGAAAAAGACTATTTATGGTATCAGGGCAAAAATAAAATTGCTATATAGTTTTATAAAAGCAAAGAACATTTTTCTTTTCACCCATACAAATAAGTAAAAATTAAAGTGCAGATATAATGCAAATCTAAATTTACTCTAACAATGGTGCAGTGAAAAGTAATTCAGAGAATATGAGAATAAGCTCAATAGCTTCCTTAAATACAAATAGGTAGAAGTTTTATAGAGAACCAGTTAGTGGAATAATATAATACAGAGGAGAAAGGGAAATTTTGTAAAACATTATGGCTCAGAGCCCCACATTTTTATTTGATTATTCCCATGACTAATCAGTTGTGAAATTCTGCAATTTTTACCAGCATTTCCATTATTTCTTTTATAAAATGCTACACACCAGCTTCATCTTTTCTCAGCTCCTCTCTTTCATTACCTGATAACTCTTTGCCCTCCCTCAAGTATCTTGTTGTTAAAGATAGTTTTCCCTGTACTGCTAAATACTTTTACTTTAAGTAAAAAAAGAGGTTGTTTCATGTCACTTTCCTTCAACAAACTTTAATGTGATTTTGTGGGTGCCATTTAAAGTTTACAATTTTTCACATGGCCTTGAAGGTTTTCAAATATTATCTTGACTTTAACCCATCTCATCTCCCATTAAACTATCTGGTTTCTGTTCACCTATTATTCACCACGTTAATAATGTGGGTATTAATTGGATACATCCTCCTTTAATATTACCTTAGTGAAAAGTGTTCATAATGACAACCAAGCTGGTGAGGAATGTGGAAAGTCTGGAACTGAAAGCAATTCATAGAATATAAATCTGTAAAAAAGATTTTATTGGCTCATATATGTCAAAAGTGATGCTCTGATGTTCTCAATCTTCGTCTCTCTTCCTCTCAGCATTTCTTTATTCTGAGTAGGCTCCACTCCTGGGCATTTCTGTACAGCTAAGTCTTAAGGGCTCTAGAATTCACCACCATATTTTCTTGACAAAACTAATAGAAGTCGTCTTCTCCTCCTCCTCCTCCTCCTCCTCCTCCTCCTTCTCCTTCTTTTTGGTAGTTGAAAAAAATATCTTTAATTTCATTTCATTTGCCCACCTTGGACTGTGATTTCATCTCTAGACCTAGAAGAATAAATTCTCTATTTAGCCAGGTAAGAAAAATGGAGACTCAACACAATCCAAACTATATAGAATGAAACTGGGACAAAGATAGTTACCCAATAAGGCATCACATCAGGGACAGGCATGAATACAAACATGCATAGACAATGTTAATCTATTGCATAGTTTATCAAAACTGGTGGGGAAAACATTTTATCAAATATATCTTTGAATTTATAAAATTTACTCATGAGAAAGAGAATAGACGTGATCTTTGCAGGTGTAGAGATTGTTCATAGGGTTAAAGAATGGAAATGGACATTTATTTTGGGTAGCTTTCCTGTTGCTGGGATCAGATACTTGACACCGAAAAGTTAAAGGCAGAAATACTTTATTTGACTCCTGGTTTCATATGATTCAGTACATGGTTGGCTGGCTTCAGGTCATGGGTGAAAAGATATGATGGAGCAAAGTGGCCATAAACTGATTAACCAGTGGTAAATATTGCATCCCCTTGACCCAATCAGAGTCTCTTAATGCATTCAGATTAACAGTTAAATTTGGCACAAAAAAGAAAGTTGTTTTCTACAAAAACAAAACAAAACAAAGCAACAGACTGACCAGAGCTAGACAACATGGATGGAAATGAATTCAGAAGAATGAAAGCTAGAAGATAGTACTGAGACCTGCCATGACTGAGGCAAAGTTCAGAGAATCTGGGTTCCTGAAGATTGTGGCACATGGCACAGGTAGTCCTAACGGGATATGTTTAAGATACACGTGAGGCATTCAGTTACTCTGAGGAAACATACATTTACTTGTTCATACACAAACTTTCTAAGTCCTGAATGAATGGGGAAGCTTCCTATGGCCAAATTTGTTGAGCATTGAATGGGCTCTTCTCTAGCACAGGTCACATAATATTATAGCCCCCTATATATTCACTAAGTCAGTGATCCAGCAAATGACTTGAATTTGGTCATCAATATATACATCCGATTTTCCTGAAATGATTTATTTAACAATTTCATCGGGGCTGGGGATTTAGCTCAGCAGCAAAGCGCCTGCCTGGCAAGCGCAAGGTCGTGAGTTCAGTTCCTGGTACTGGAGAAAAACCAAAAAAAAAAAAAAAAAAATTTCATCTGTCTTGAGTCTCTATTTCTTCATCTATCACATAAAATAATAATACATACATACATAAAATAATAATACACCCCTAAAAATATTTTAAGGACCAAATAGAGGTACTTGACTTAATGTAGAATTCAAGTAGTTGTTGTCAGTATCATTAAGCACTCTGTGTCACTCCTCACTCTTTAAGTAAGGAACTAAGCCTTTTCTATACAAGTTTTAAAAATTTTTCAACATATATTAATTGTATATATTTATGGGACACAATATGATACTTAAATGCATTCATATACAGTGCCCTGATCTAAACAGGGTAAATTAACATTTTTCCACTCTTTGTCATTTCCTTGTTTGAAGCCTTTAATTTCCTCTCCTATATCTTTATAAAAACGTATAATTCATTGTCTTAAATTGTGTCACCCCCACTGTGCAATACAGCAGCATAAGTTATTCTATGAATTATGTTTATGTTTTAGTGCCTGTTATCTGTTTCTTGGTTTTAAGAATTTTAAAATGCAGGGAAGACAAAAAGTTAAGAAGCATTAATTTAAATACAAAATACTACTTTGAACTGTATCAGATCACTGATTATATATATATTCAAAATCAACCTGATCTTACTCTAAATACAATAAGTAATGTGGTTTCACTTCTCTCTCCTTACAACCCACTGCCTAACTCTTTCCCATAAACTGGTTTTAGTATTTATCAAATCATCTGATGAATTTCTCATGCTAAACAAGATTAAAGTTTCTCCCATTTCTTTTCATAGCATCTGTTTTGAGAAATAACTCTGTGTAGAACTTAAAGCAAGAAAATATGCCACTAGAATATTAAAACAAAACAAATGATTTAAAATACCACACCTTGCATGTTTCTTTGGCACACTGAATGAAAAAAAGATAAAATATTAGCCTGTGCTTTTCATATGAATATGTTAGAGAAAAAAATAACTTTTAAAAAACCCAACTTTTTATTTTGTGTTTTCACTTTTATTTGATACTTTGAAATTTTTGATAACTTATTATGATGATCCTCCTAAATAATAGCTTAGAAAAGCCAGAAATGGAATATATAAGTCAAATTTAGAACAGCATACTAATTATTTTTTTTACCAAGGAAAGAATACCAAATATTTTCTTCTTTTCATATTCAGAACATTTGTCCTGAGTTAGCAGATTTGAGTTTAATATAATAGCTCTTTAAAAAACATATATTCAAAATGAAAGATTCCTTGTATAACTCTTAAATATTTAAATTCCTTGAATCCTATTTTATTTGGTAAGACCAAGTTATCTGATATATATTTTAAAACATAACAGTTTTATTGGAATTCATAGACCATATAATTCACTCATTTAAAATGTCCAACTCTGTGGCCATCTCTACATTCTCATTTTAGAACATATCATCACCCCAAAAGGAACCACATTCTTCATTCCTTTGTTCACTGATCTCTGACAACTTCTAATCTGTTTTATGTCTACATGGATTTGCCTATTCTGGACATTTCACATAAATGAAATCATATAATATGTGGCTATTTGTGACTGGACTCTTCCATTTAATATTTTTCAAAGTTCAGGTGTATTCTATCATGTATAATCATTTCTTTTGTGGCCAAATAATATTGCATTGTATGGATATTCCACATGGCATTTATCTCATCTGATAGACAGTTTAGAGTGTTTCCATTTTGTCGCTATTTAAATAATGCTCCCATGAACATAGTATACAAGTTTTTGTGTGGACAAAAGCTTTCGTTTCTTTTGGGTATGTAGCTAACAGCAGATTTTTGGGTCATATGGTAAATTTTTGTTTAACCATTTGTGGAACTTTCAGGTTGCATTCCAAAGATTCTGTGTTTCTTCCAGGCAATATATGAGGATTGACTTTCTCAACATTTTGTCAACACTTGTGATTTCCTGTTTTTTTATTATAGCCATCCTAGTGAGTATGAGTTGTTATTTCACTACAATTTTGATTTGCAATTCCCTGCTGACTAATGATGTGGAGCGTTTCTACATGTGCTTACCATTCACATTTCATTTGGAAAAGGTCTACTGAGATACTATACCTTTGTTTCAGTTGAGTTGGCTTTTTGTTGTTATAGTGTATGAAATATATATATGCATACACACAGAGTGGTGCCTCAGTGCATGAATGCTTTTGTTTCCAAACAGAAGCATGTGGCAAAATTGTGTTTTCATTTGCAAACACTCCATTAGGCAGTAAACATGACTGCAGCCATCCTTCCCACACAAACACAAATGAAGCCATCCTATCCAAGATCATAAAACAAATTTAGTTCATGAACCAAGATAGCACTATATGTATTTTTAAATATGTTTACATATATATAATGATATATATAAACTTTCTCTGAGGATCACCTGCTTACTTTCTTGATGATATCACAAATATTTTTAGTTTGATGAAGTGTAATATCTTTTTTTTTGGCACTTATGCTTTTGATATTTTATGTAAGAAGACTTTTCTTAACCTAACCCGCTGTTATGATGTACTACTTCTACATTTTCATCTTATATGCTAGATAAAATATGAGTTTACACTCCCTCTTATATTTAGGTATATAATAAATTTTAAATTAAGTTTTTGTGTGTGTTTGAAGAAGGGGCTTGAATACATTCTGATACAGTATAGATATACAATTGTTTAAGCATCATTTATTAATAAACTTCTTTCCACATTGAACTGTTTTGACACCTTGATATAATTTTTGATCCTTGAACTGGTTGTCAGGAGTCTAAATAATATATTGTAGACTTTTTCCCCTTGTTTGCTGTCCTGAGAATCAAATCCACCACGGCATTACATCCTCAGCCCTAATCTAGTTTATTTTACTGTAAATCTAGATTGTTAAATTTTTACTTTAGTATTTTCTCTTAAATAATACATTGAACTTCAAATATAACTTTGAGGATAATTTTGGGTTAATTTGTAAAGCACTCTCATTTTCATTTTCTCAGAAGCCATGAAAATTCTTGGAAATAATCATTAATTTACTTGAATTTTGCTCATCACATCTTTATCTTTGATAGTTAAAAAACAGTGTTCTAACGAATGTTCTTTGTGAATTTTACACTTGAAAAAACCTAATATTTAATCCCAGTTCAATTACCCAGGAGTCCTTTTGAGTTCTGGCAGTAGGTCAAAGCAGGTTTGATGTACAAAGCGTTGATTGCAAAGCATATCCTGGGTAGATATGTGACAGCCTGAATAAGCACAGGTATTTTTAGCAAGAGTATTTCTGGCACAAAACATGTAACTATGAAGAGAGAGTCACAGAAATATTGTGTCCTGGAAACCTCACCACCTAATTAAATGTACACACAATTAACCAAAAGATATACTCAGTTTTCTTTTCTAGTCAACTCAAGGAGCTTATTTAATAAGCTCTTATTACTATTCACAATCTTCCTAGGAGATGGTGATAGTCAAAAGGCCAGGATCACTCAGGAGTGTGTGGAGAGCTCTCACGTCCCTGCTGCTGAGCTGGATAATCTACAACGACCTCACATTCTGGATGTCTCCCAGCCCTCAGAGACCACGTGCTTCTTACCATTCAGTTGACCAGCTCAGAATTCTCCCAGGGTATTTCAGGTACCAAGAGCAGCAAGAGAGGGTACACACAAGTTTACAAATACTTTCTGAGCCTCTCCCATCAAATTTCCATGAGCCACAGCAAGTGAAATGGCAACTAGATTTTAGGCCATGGGGAAAAAAAAAATCCATGTCTTGAGGAAAGAGCTGCAAGCATAGGCAATTTTGCAAATTATCACATCGGGCAAAACAAGGACCAT